CTTGCTTAGATGCTATTCAGCTTCAGTTGATATGATCGATATTATGACAGAATATACATATCAGGAAATGTTTTTTTCTGGAAAGGATTCAACTTTTTTATCACAAGATCTTTATATTATTAGATTTAGATTTTCAAGGATATTATTATCACATGGTGAGAAAATTAAGTCTTAGAAAAGTATCTCTACGAAGTATCTTTACGTATTTGAAAGTGTTATGGGCCTGTTCATGACCATAACTTGGACACAAAGGCATTACCGTGTCTAGTAGTGAAATTGACCTTTCCTTTAAAGAAAGCCTTTTTTAAGGATCTAAATAGAAAACTTCAGGAGAATGGTGAGTGTAAAATTTATACTTAGACTCAGATGAGGCTTGGAATTGATATCTTGAATTTCTTATGATTTCTACATCTTTAGTATTTGATACATATCATGCGATCATAGGTTAACCTTTTTTTTAATTAATATAATAGAGCAAATAGAAAAAAATATTGGATTGCATGGTTTGGTAGAAAAATTTGGAGGTATCAGCAATTTTTTTGAATACATTGTAAACGATGATTTGGCATATCGACCAAGTATAAGTAAATCAAAGTGTTAAACAATGTATTTTTTACTTAGGATTCCGAAATAACACTATCATTTAAATATTCCATTTCCTGACATTAATGTCGAAATTCTGTTTGGTAAAATATCATATGTCATAACAATATTTCCTTAATTATACACTTTATATTACTAATTTTTATAACGATAACAAAATTTATTTTTTTTTAGAGGAACTTGTGGAGTCTGTAGGATAAAGATCATCATTTGTGAAAGGTCACAACAAAAAATGGCGTTTTAAATTACACATGGCTCAAAAGAAAAGTTATCACCCTGTGATGGTTTTATTATTGATGCTATGGAGATTGATGGCTAGAATTACATTCTGATAAAATCGATTTAAACAATTTAGAATTCAATGAATTTGAAAAGCAATTTTAAATTTTGAAAATTATTTAATTCCATTGGATTCTGTCAAACTCAAATCGAAACAATTAGTACAAAGCTCACGGAAATTACGTTTCCAGATGACTTCTGGCTCTCAGCTTTTCTGGAATTTTTTCCTATTATAGCACTACCAATTCAAATTCCGATTAGATTTTAGCTATTTAATGATCTCGTGATACTGTATATATATAATAGTGATAATAATTGTACGCGATAATATTGAACTTGCTGTATAGTTTAATGAAATTTTTTTTCAATAACACAGATTTCTATAATAGAATAGGATAATTTCTACATAATAAAAAAAAATAAATTATAAAAAAAATAAAAAAATAATATTAAAAGTTTAAAAAAACAAAAAAAAATGAAAAGGAAAATAATTATATAAAAATTTAAATAAAGAGAAATTAAATAATAAAGTTATAGAATATTTATTGTAAAATATATTATTAAAAGAAAATTAAAGAAAATAGTGAAAAAAAATTAATATATATATTAGGAAATAATGACTATTATTAAGTTCAAAATAATCTTAATTAAAAAAATTTATCCTAATATTTGCTTTATTTAGATTTTTGTATAATTGTAAAGGCCAATTAGCATTAACTCAATTATTAAGTAAGTAAATATTAGAATATCAAAGTAGCTAAAATATAAATAATTCTATTTAGTTCATTCTGAACTAATAAAATATAAAAGAAAAATAGAAATTATAATAAAAGAATAAGAATAATAAAAGAATAAAAATATTTAGTAAAAATTAAATATTAAAAAAAAAAACATTTAAAAGAAATTTTTAAAAAATTTAAAAAATTAAAAAATGATTTACAAAATTAATTAATATTAATTTATTATAAATAGAATAATATTTTATTTTATAAAAAGAAATTTTATTAATTAATAATAAATAAGATTTAAAATATTAAATATATAATCATTTCTTTATATTAGGGAAGTGTCAGAAATTACATGATTAGAAAAGAGAAGGTAAGGGTAGTGATATACATTTTTAATGTCCCAGAGATTTGTTGTCTCAGCTATATGTTCCAACCTGTCTCACACTATGTCCTAAATATCCTATCTGTCCCATCTATGTTCCATTAGCGTCTCATCAGTGTCTCATCAATGTCCCATGATAACATTGGATAAGGGTGCTCTTATTAATCACATCTATATATAGTAATTTTTATTTTATATGGCATTATAATTATTATTATATAAACATGTCAAATTTATTAAAATCAAAAATATTGATAATTATTCATGATCAGACAATACATTTCTAAAATCTAAAACAAATTCTTTAAAAAGATAATTATTTAATATATCTTTAAAAGTATGCAAATTTTGAATATATGATAAATTTTGATGATACTGTATATGAATTATTTTCTTGTGTTCAACTACAAAAGATAAAATCAAAAAATACTTATCACACAAATTGCAGCATAATCATTAATGTAATTCGAAAGATATAAAAGGATAATACTGATCATATTTAGGGATTTTTAATAAATCAAAATATTCTAGAATATGAATTGGATTCAAAAAATGATTATCACAACCTTTAGAAATAGGTAGAAGAAAACTATTATTTTGTGCCAATAATGTAGCAGCTGTTTCACAATGTTTTGATTTACAATATTATAAATTATTACATTTGCAAATATCAAGAGAATAACAACAAATTTGAGTATGAGTTTCTATCCAAAGCTAGGAAACTGGTGTTTTTATTTCTATATTATTTTCTGAAATATATTCTGCATATATAGAATGACCATTGATACAATCCTTCTTCTACAATTCACACAATATTTCTCTAGAATAAGCAAAATTTTGACGTACTAAATTATTATTAACCACTTTTCCATTTTGTAGATGATTGTTATATTTATTATGAGGAAGAGTAATTCCCGCAAGTTTTTCAGATAAAAATGCCATACTTCGTTCAACAGAATTATATGCAAATTGACCAGATGCATGTATACAAATTGTCATATAATCTAAATCTTCATCACGAATGTACTAATAATATTGTTTTATATTTTTCAAATGACGTAAATTTTCATCAAGTCCTCCATCTACCAAAAGAATTACAATCGAACAGTACATATTATTATAATCTAAAAAAGATGGTTGAAAATCTTGAAGATGTTGGATTTTATGTAAATCAAACATATAACTTGAAGCTGTTGTTAAAAACTATAATTCTAGTCATACAAAAATTGCTAAATATCCTGATCGTATTAATTTATTTGTATCAGTTAGATCAATTATAAGATATACAGAAGAAATTAATTTGTATTTTGAAGATACTGAAAAATCGTGATTGAGAATAGATACAAGCTGATTTCGTGATTGAATTATAGAAAAGGTACAATCTACTAGAATTCCTAAAGGAACTTTAGCTTTATCATCTTGTGAAATAATGATTGAGTTTTCAGAAAAAGCTTCTGCAAATTATTTAACACCTTTTACAGATGCCAAACAATAATATTCATCTTCATGTGAGGTCATTTCATTTCTAGATACTCTAATATTTCTAATAAAAACTGGATAATGGTGATGTTTTACTTGAATAAAATTTGGATAACATAGTAAAAGATATGTTTGAAGATAGGATTTTGATATATACTGATTATAGTTTTCTTTTATAGCTGTTCAGAGATGTGAAATTATACGAACTTTAATTCATTCTTTTCTTCACTGATTATTAGCTGAACTAAATTCTACACACGCATATAATTGATCATATAATTCCAGATTTTTAAGAGAATATGAGGGTCTACCAGGTGAATCATATTTTTCTACAATATTATTTTCTAATAATTAATATTTTCACTCCTAAAGTTTTTCTTGTATTACTACATATTGTTTCAAATGGATAAGTCATTTATCTTATTATATTATTATTTATTTTTCTGTATTTATTTGATATATAAAATGCTTCTGCATAGAACTATCTATTGTAATATCAAGCATAGTAGTATATTCTACTACATTTTTTTGTATACATTCCTTTTTACTAATAGTATTGTATTATAAAATTGCATTTGATCTATTTGATTTTCCTTGTTAAGTTTAGAATGAACCTGTACAGACCTTGGTGTAGTATAACGAACTGAACGAACCAGTCTGAAATTTAAAACTTGAAACCTATTTTCTATTAATGGAATTGGAGTATTTAGAAAATTTGTAATAGAATTCTTAATTTTATTTGTATTTTTTCCTTTTATTTCAGTTCACATAGTATTTGCTTGCTCTATTAGTTGTTGTTTTAGTAGGTTTAGATTCGAAAGTTCAACTATTTTATGATATGCTTATATATTACAAAACTTATGGTATAAATGTGTTAGATTTTTATAAAGGTATTTTTTATCAAACTTCAGATTTGTTAAAAATACAGTCAGACCTTTATATAGTCACACAATTGGTTTCGCCAAAATCAGTGATTATATAAAGATGTGACTGTAAAAAGGATACCTTTATATAATCATAACTATATGATAATCAAATAAATAATGACTATTTAGAGGTTAAATTAGTATTGTTAGCTTTATAAGTAAAATTTATCATAATATTTTATTTATTATTTAACCAATATACTATTTTTATTAAATCATGTGAAAAAAATATTATCAGATTACATAATTT